TACTGTGGATAAATATGTTGATATTGATTAGAAAGATTAGTCAGATACCGTACTTTGTGGATAAATATATTAATATTGTTTCGAAAGATCGGTCAGATATCATACTCTGTGAATAAATATATTGATATTGATTAGAAAGGTTAGTCATAATATACTAGCACTGGCACAGAAAAATGGTAGTTTGTTTGCTTACCAAAATAGGCTGGCGATGACACTGTACATCAAGGGGTTTGTTTGCTTACCAAAATTGGCTGGCGATGACACTGTACATCAAAGGGTTTGTTTGCTTACCAAAATAGGCTGGCGATGACACTGCACATCAAGGGGTTTGTTTGCTTACCAAAATAGGCTGGCGATGACACTGTACATCAAGGGGTTTGTTTGCTTACCAAAATAGGCTGGCGATGACACTGCACATCAAGGGGTTTGTTTGCTTACCGAAATAGGCTGGCGATGACACTGTACATCAAGGGGTTTGTTTGCTTACCAAAATAGGCTGGCGATGACACTGTACATCAAGGGGTTTGTTTGCTTACCAAAATAAGCTGGCGATGACACTGTACATCAAGGGGTTTGTTTGCTTACCAAAATAGGCTGGCGATGACACTGTACATCAAGGGGTTTGTTTGCTTATCAAAATAGGCTGGCGATGACACTGTACATCAAGGGGTTTGTTTGTATACCAAAATAGGCTGGCGATGACACTGTACATCAAGGAGTTTGTTTGCTTACCAAAATAGGCTGGCGATGACACTGTACATCAAGGGGTTTGTTTGCTTACCAAAATAGGCTGGCGATGACACTGTACATCAAGGGGTTTGTTTGCTTACCAAAGTAGGCCGCTATGTACACTGTAAATCTGCAGTGATTTGTTGTTCTTGGTATAATGATCTAGCATTGGCACTGCCACTGTAAATTAGTGGTTTGTTTTACCACCATAGTTTACTTGCATTGCCAATGCACACGTACTTTGTTTTGATGCATTAATGCCATACCACAAAAAGGTTGCCAAGTGCCATAAACAGTTTGTTTCAGTGTCATAATGGGTTGCCAATGTCAACACATTGGCACTGTGCATGAATGTGTGTTAATCCTACTATATTAGCCAGTAATGGCACTGTACTTTAGTGGTTTGTTCCCTAACCATAATACGCGGGAATTGGCACCGCTTGTCACAATCCACTGATTTTCAGTGCCAACAATATCCAATTGTGATATCAAAACAATTTAATCGCTACCATGATAGCATGCCAATGGTACTCTAAGTCAGTGGTTTGTTTGGAAAATATACTGTACTGGTGACGGTAATATCAATTAGTGGTTTGCTATTCGACCAAAATGAGCTGGTAATGGCACTGTATATCAGTAATTTGTTTACTTACCATATAGACTGACATTCAGCATTGTACTGTCGTGGAATGTTGTTCTGAATAGTCACAAAATATCACTGTACATTAGAATGGGCGTTGGTTTTGAAAATGAAATTCCGTGGTTCTTTTCCCTTTTATAATGAACTTGCCTTTGCGCTGTACATTATCTTTGTTTACCTGGAATAATTCACTGGTATTGCCACTGTCAAATTGTTTACAATGCTACTGTAATGGGACAAATGATTCAGTTCAAATGACAAAATCAGCTTGTTTCCCTATGGTGGGTTGTTATCAACACTGCATATCCGTGGTGTGTTTCCCCCTCATAATAGGCTGCAATTGGCGCTGTAAATCAGTAGTTGGTTTCCCCATCATAATGCGCAGGAAATGGCTCTATACGTACGTGATTTCTTTTGCTACCATATGTTGACTTTAATTGGCATTGTACATCAGTGTATTTTCCTACTATAATATACTTGCACTGTAACTTAGTAGTTTTCGTTACTACTATAATGGACAGTATTGGCACAGTGTATTAGTAGCTCGGTTCACTTCCATGATCAACTGGTATTTGCACAATAAATCAGTGAATTGTTTGGCTATCTCAGTCCCTGGAACGATCCATGGCAATGTATGGTATTGGCAATGTATCTCCGTGGTTGTTTTCCCTGTCATATTATTCTGGTAATGGCACAGTGCGTCTGTGTTTTTTACCTACCATATTGGTCTGGTATGGCAATGTATCTCCGTGGTAGCTTTCCCTGTCATAATATTCTGGAAATGGCACAGTACGTCTGTGTTTTTTACCTACCATATTGGTCTGGTATGGCAATGTATCTCCGTGGTTGCTTTCCCTGTCATATTATTCTGACAATGGCACTATACGTCTGTGTTTTTTACCTACCATATTGGTCTGGTATGGCAATGTATCTCCGTGGTAGCTTTCCCTGTCATAATATTCTGGAAATGGCACAGTACGTCTGTGTTTTTTACCTACCATATTGGTCTGGTATGGCAATGTATCTCCGTGGTTGCTTTCCCTGTCATATTATTCTGACAATGGCACTATACGTCTGTGTTTTTTACCTACCATATTGGTCTGGTATGGAAAATGTATCTCCGTGGTTGCTTTCCCTGTCATAATATTCTGGAAATGGCACAGTACGTCTGTGTTTTTTACCTATCATTTTAGTCTGGTATTGGAAATGTTTCCCCGTGGTAGCTTTCCCTGTTATAATATTCTGGCAATGGCACAGTGCGTCTGTGTTTTTTACCTACCATATTGGTCTGGTATGGCAATGTATCTCCGTGGTTGCATTCCCTGTCATATTATTCTGACAATGGCACTATACGTTTGTGTTTTTTACCTACCATATTGGTCTGGTATGGGAAATGTATCTCCGTGGTTGCTTTCCCTGTCATAATATTCTGGAAATGGCACAGTGCGTCTGGGTTTTTTACCTACCATTTTAGTCTGGTATTGGAAATGTTTCCCCGTGGTTGCTTTCCCTGTCATAATATTCTGGAAATGGCACAGTGCGTCTGGGTTTTTTACCTATCATTTTAGTCTGGTATTGGAAATGTTTCCCCGTGGTTGCTTTCCCTGTTATAATATTCTGGCAATGGCACAGTGCGTCTGTGTTTTTTACCTACCATATTGGTCTGGTATGGCAATGTATCTCCGTGGTTGCTTTCCCTGTCATAATATTCTGGCAATGGCACAGTGCGTCTGTGTTTTTTACCTACCATATTGGTCTGGTATTGGAAATGTTTCCCCGTGGTAGCTTTCCCTGTCATATTATTCTGGCAAAAGCACTTTGCGTCTGTGTTTTCTTTCCTACCATATTGGTCTGCCAATGGCAACGTATCTCCGTGATTGTTTCTCCTGTCAAAACTAAATAGTAGTTTAAATTCGTGGTTTGTTTTACCACCTGAATGGCATTGGTACTATACATGATTGGTTTATTTCTCTCCCAAGTCAGTGGTATGTTTTACCAATCTTGATTAGCTATCAAGTTTGTACATTGTAGCATAAGACTGACAAATCTCACGTTTTTTTCACAATTTTATAGGGACCGGTATCTAATCAGTATGTGGTATTGATTTGATTTTTCTGATTATGTCTATTATATTCAAGTTGCTAGTATGGAAGTTGTGTGGGCTTGAAGTACTACTCAACAGTGGGCGTCTCAAACGCTCTGTGTTACACACGGGAGAAGTTCATAACACAGAAAAGGATAAAGTTTAAACCTCAAAATGAATCTGAAAATATTGTTTTGGTTTGAAAGTGAAAGAAACGTTATTTGCCAGTATGTATCGTACACATTGATAAGTTCTTAATAAAAAGAAAAAAAACGAAAAAGATTAGTTTAACCCCAAAATGTGTCTGAACAAATTGGTGCTGGTTTTAAACGTGAAAGAAATATTTTTTCTATCGTATTCCCCGGAATAATGGTAACAAGATTGCCCAATGAGAGCACGTAAAAGGGTGTTAGTTTTATGCACTAAAAAGTGATATGTGGCTGTGGTGATAGCAACGGCGCTTCCACTGTGTGTAACAAATGGCTGCGCGTGCGCTGTGCTTTTAAACATTCATCATTATGTAGAGCCGGACGCATTCATCATCTATATACGCATTGAAATTCAAACTCAAAATGATTCAGCGGTTTGAGTCGGCGCATGCGCATAGCGTTTTCCCTGCAGGTGCATGATATCTTGATGACGATACCTCCACGCAGGGAGTAGGAATGGCGCCTTGCTCGCAGCGCACCAAGTTATATTTTTCATCTTCACATCTCTGATTGGTTGCTTTTGTGAATACATGTATGTTTTGAATAATTCTCTCCATTTGTTACTTTCACACCGCGTTAAATAAAGCCATTGTCCTACTAACAAGACAGTCTAAACGATACGCTGCTTCCCGCATATTATAATTACATTTTTAGCCCATTAAAACCTATTTTGATATGAATACTTTATCTTGCTCAGCCCCATCCTATATAAACTGGACAATGGCTTATTCTGTCATACATATCCTATTTGCCTGACGTCCACTGACCCGACATCATGAGCCATACAACTTTTCAGGGCGATGTCCACGGCACCAAACTCTACATCACTCCAGAAGTTTTACGAAATGTACTTTACGGTAGATGGTGCGATATTTTTGGAGTTCCTACGGCACGTGTCACTGAGCGTTTACCGTCTTCTAAAAGTTCTGGTCTGTTAACACGGGGTAAGTTGACGTAATAGAACTATTTCATGATCCGATGTGTCGCACTTATTTCTTTTCACATCACTGTCCTGTTATGTATTTCCTGGCTGTGAATTGTAACATGGAGCGAAACAAAATACTTACCAAAATATAATAATTATTTGCTAAAACTTTACCATCGTATTACTTCGCCCACATCCGTAGCGAAATATCATTTCCACATACACAAGGAACTACATGTTGCTCAAAACAGACCACTTCCATTTAAAACGTCATCGATTACGATCTACACAGTTCTGCAATGCATTGTTTTCAAGTCGTATTTTATCACGTTAAAAGCTTACGATTACGTGTACTATGCTTGCACTGATTGGATAGACGTGTCCTCACAATAGACTACTCATATACATCGTGCACGATGGATCCAAGCGTCGGTCTCATCTCCGTTCATTTCGTCCTGGTATTTTAGTTGTTTTTTCCGATTACATTCTTAACAAACATAGTTTCGGTAATATTTATATCAATAATCATATATTAGAATAAAGCATGATTTGATTTTAAACGATGTTTTTTTTTCAATGTGAACAAAATATTCGGACGTGACGGATCATATTTATGTCACTGAATATCCGAAAAAAATTTCGACTGTTTTGGGGAAAGTGTAAAACCGCATATGGGAATTCCGATTTTTTGAGTTATACAATTTCCCCACTTTCGTTAAAAAAAGATTTGTTATATAATCTAATTTACTGTACAGCAAAAAAATCCAAAATATATCTGTACTGAAAATTGCACAATTTCGAAAAGTATTACTCTTTTACAAACAAAAATAATGAAACTTATCTCCGGAAGACAGCAAGTTTTCATTGAACACGTAGCAATGAATTGTATTCTCCAGACATGGACTCGTGGCAGTCCATATAATGTACCGGTGAACGTACGTCAACGATTAAATCACGCGTTGCCATGGTAAAGACGATCTGGCATATGAATATCAATAATCCCAAAAGTATTCTCAATCTGACGTTATCAATTTGTTGAAACGTGGACAACTTTTAAAATAAAATATTAATTAATTTCAGATAAAGTTGAAATCTAGTTATTGCAATATCGCAAATGAAGACGGTTATCATTCGCGTAAATACGGTACTATATAAAGTCAGCCAACACCGTCGTTTGAGCGACTCGTATGGTTCTTGTGCTAAATGTTATTCATGTTGTTGTAGTGCATGCATGTTACGCTGAAATGGACAAGGGGTTGTACATGGCCTAATGGAGGCTTTTGACATTGACACAGTGCATTCATTTATCACGGAACAAAACTTATCTGTTTCCACAATCGACTCCATCTATTGAACGATGAGTTGTAAACCCAGCAGTGGGCTGAAACTGCCATGCAGAGAGCCCTGCTCATTTGTAAAGAAACTCGTTAAATATAAGGCGCTCTATCTCTAACAAAGCGCAAATGTTATCAGAACTTAGCGGAAAATAAGTTTAAGCGAATAAAAACGTGTTGATCAATATGCCTGCAATCTCCTTGATTGTAAGATATAGACAGTATAGAGAAATCCATTATGCAGATAGATGGATCGAGTACATACGGTTTGTATAAACGGACAATTCATTGCATCTTAGCATGTGGCTGTTGAGCATGGAGTACAAGAGAGTCGTTGTTTGTGCAAATAGCGGGATGTGTGTATGAGAACTAGGCAACGGGCGCTCTTAATGATCAGCCGCCCGGCTCACAGGGGATTCATTTAGCTCGGATGAGATCATATCTACGAAGCGTGGATATTAAACATATTCAATTCAAATTAATAAATTATTAAATCATTTGATAAGTATCTAGTATCTAATAAATTATTCAAACCTTTAACTATTTACGGCTCATTTGATTGCGATTTAAATAAAGCTAAGTAACTTTCCTGTGAGCTTAATTACAGTATCCGCGTTATACGGCTCTGCATCACTGACTGTTATACATGTTACTAGTGTATGCATCGTTGTCTGTCGTACATGTTAGTCAGCACTGCGTCCCAGACTGTCGTACATGTTAGTCAGCACTGCGTCCCAGACTGTCGTACATGTTAGTCAGCACTGCGTCCCAGACTGTCGTACATGTTAGTCTGCACTGCGTCCCAGACTGTCGTACATGTTAGTCAGCACTGCGTCCCAGACTGTCGTACATGTTAGTCAGCACTGCGTCCCAGACTGTCGTACATGTTAGTCAGCACTGCGTCCCAGACTGTCGTACATGTTAGTCAGCACTGCGTCCCAGACTGTCGTACATGTTAGTCAGCACTGCGTCCCAGACTGTCGTACATGTTAGTCAGCACTGCGTCCCAGACTGTCGTACATGTTAGTCAGCACTGCGTCCCAGACTGTCGTACATGTTAGTCAGCACTGCGTCCCAGACTGTCGTACATGTTAGTCAGCACTG